TCAGGTTTGACTCAACAATACATTAATGATTGAAGTCACACCTACTTGTCTGATAAAACAAACAGGATTTTTCACATTTAAAAAATCCCTATTATTACAACAGTTTGTAACCCGAAACTCTCCTTCTTACACCCTCTTTGATGTTGTAAATAATGAAGCCCTTTAATTTAATTTGTTAACATTAATTAAAGCAAATACGATGTATTTCAACAACGCGATCGGCGTCTACGGAATTTGTACGTTTCAATTATTGCGAATCCAATTGGGCGGACTAATTGAAAGTAAATTAAATTAAAGATAATTTCAAATTACTAGCTTCAAGTAAGAGTCAAAATAATATTAACAATGCATGTTTCATGTTATCTAGCAATATTGCACAATTCTAAACAACCATAATGAAATGTAAATCCTACCACCAACCCAAGTATCTTACAGACTTTTTCAATGTAAAGACAGACTTTTAATTTTATTTATCATATCTATACTAATATATAAAGCTGAAGAGTTCGTTCGTTTGTCTGAACACGCTAATCTCAGGAACTACTGGTTCGAATTGAATAATTCTTTTTGTGTTGGTTAAAGCATTTATCGAGGAAGGCTAATAATATTACGCGCTTTGATTAATTGGAGCGAAGAAAAAGCTGTTACCCAGCGAACGACGCGTGGGTAACAGCTTAAATTTAGAGTTGAATGGGAGGTTTGCAAAAACAGATTTCGATGCCCAAAATAACTGTTCTGCGTGGAAGAAGTCGCTGAGACAGTTATTTAATAATAATCTATAATATAATAAATTACAAGCATAGAGTAAGAGTCAAAACACTTTGAACAATGCGTGTTTCCATCTCAGATATTAAAATATGGACAAAATCGTCACATCTCACAATATTGCACAATTCTAAACAAATATCAAATAGAAATCTACCACCGACCCAAGTATAGTCAAATGTTAGAGACTTTTTCAATGTAACGACACAATATTAATTGTATTTATTATACCAACATGTTTTAACTAAATATGAATTTATTAGAAACATGTTATCAGGTGGAGATCGAACGACCCATTGATTTCTATAAGCACATAGCTAAGACCATCAAGCCCGTCTAAAATATCTAACTATAATGAGGCTCTATATATATTATGACTAGCTGGTATGCTCGCGACTTCATCCGCATGAAATAGTTATTTTATACGACGTCGGTCGCGTCCCTTTCCGTCGTTCTTGCGGGATAATCTTAAAAGATGGAAATATAGCGTCGCGGACTTTTTTTAGATCATTTAAAGAGGAATCATTCTTTCATACGTATTTTTTTTGGGTATCTTGCAGCGTGCAGCGTACGCCTCGGAAACCCATAATGATGAATAATTTTCCCAATTTTTGTCACAATTCTCGCTGTATCTTCGCTCCCATTAGTCACACCGATGTATTAGTTAGCCCCCCGGTAAATGCTCTAACCAAAATAATTTTTCAATTCGAACCCATAGTTCCTGAGATTAGCGCATTCAAACAAACAAACCAACTCTTCAGCTTTACATAAATCTATACTAGTATAAATCAACTTAGGTTATTAATTACTAATAAACATACGTACATACATAATTATTAATAAAATTAAATTATAATTATTTACTTCAATGACCAGAAGTTATGCGTCTACTTGATCTGTGATTAATTTGTTGGAAAATATTTCACCACCATATTATCCCATCCCCTAAGTACACGAACTAATAGTTTACTTACCTTATGTAAATATGGCATCTGTTGCCTATATCCATTATCCCATACGTCACCGCTATATTTATAGGTAAACAACCTCAATTTATCTTTGTCTCTTAGACCTAAAGTAGATTCATGGTAGTAGTAGGGTGTAAAGTTTGAATCCTGGATCGAGTGAAACGTATTTGTTTTTTTTTTTCAGGAAATTCAAATAGACACGAGAGCTCAGCTCCTTACCTCCGAATTATGGTTTTGGGAACTATGAACTTTACTCCGATACGAAGTGCAGTCAAGTAAACCAAGGTATTTTTCCACCTTTGTACTTTTGAAATATAGAAGTAAGTTTGTCGGTTATGTCTTAAGCTTCAGCTTAGATATAGTAGTAGACAATAAAATAAGACATTCGATGCCATTTTGTAAAGCTGTTTGGGATTGAAAGCTGTTCGTCTATCGTAAATAAGAAATGGTTACACGTATTGCCATCACGATTTGTATAGCTTGAAAATAGAAAACGTGGAATAAATATAGAATTGAAATTCTTTTTCCGATACTTATCTTAAATTTTGTAGTCATCCTATACCACTTAAGTTTATATTAACAGATAAAAAATAAAAAGGTATATCTTATATTATCTCACTCTCTATTTAATTACGTTTTTAAACATTTACATAACTCACTAAACTTAGATCACATTTAAGGTACAGTTTAGACCGCGTAAAATAAATAAGTCTTAATAACTTGAAGTAATAAATACTTATGTTAAGTACGTCATCGATATTAATGGTAAAAAGGTAAAAATATAGAAAAGATAGAGCGTTAGTTATAATTAATGTTAGGAGGAAATTGAATTTAAAAGGTTTTACAGTTGCTATAGCAAAAAATGTACTATATCGCTACCTGCGTTTGTCTCTGAATTTAAAATGTTATTAATAAAAGTGACGCGGGATTTTGCTATTGCTACATTTTCAGCTCAAATTATGTTTCAAATGAATAACCGCTTGAAAATTATTAGTACCAAGTAATAATAATACGGGTTGCATTCTAGTCATGCCGGCGGAAATAAAAACTGCAATTTTAACGTCGTGCTTTTTTGATATAATGCGATAGTTAGGGAATAGTGATGTACGGATTGATTTATTAAAGGGGCCGTTGTATGTGATTTAATACAATATTAATTTATTGCGATATAGTACAAAAACATGGGAATTCTATCAAGTATCTTTTCTTCTTTCCATTTACGAATTTTTGATCAGGTATGATTCGATGGTAGTATCAAACATTATTTACCCATTACAATAAAAGTTTATAACATCGCTAAATTAGTTTTCACATTTTAAATTGCGTTATAAGTTCTATTGCAGTCTTATTGACAGATAAATCAAACACCATTTTAGAATTTACAATTAATAAATTGTGTTATAACTTTACAGTATTTACAAGGAATGAATTAAAATTACGGTACTTATCATGCTAATTTGTCCATACATTTGTATACAACATTTAAAGTTAACACCAAATCTTATACTAGACAGAATTACTTCATACGGCGGTAAATTATTGTACACACCTATCTAAATAAATTGTTGAACGGGACATGAAAGAAAACTTTTATTAGAAATTTCATATAAATTAAATACATAGTTATTTCAATTTTGAATTGTCTCGTTAATTCAGTGGTTAGTGTCGCCGACTGCGAAAGCATTTTTGAACGAGATAAAATTTAGAAGACGGAGTTTGTAACCCCGACCCATCCTTTGCTTCAAAGAGGATCATGCCGAAGTTACGTTTTCACCAGTAATTAAGTGGTGGTAGCCGTTACAGCCAGCCAACCCACACTGGAGCAACGTCTTAGCCCTTAAAACCCCCGATTTCAGACAAGTTAAAATAATTAATACTTTTTATGTTACTTTTTGGTCTTAGACAAAAACAACAGTCGGCATTCCTCTTGCTTTACACGAGAAAATACGATCTAGATATAGCTTTCTACTAAAGTTATTGGATTACCGCCGTAATTAAATAAAAAATCGTTTTTAACATCGTAAATCTATTTTGTCATTAATTTTCTGCGCTACTTACCTAAAAAAAAATTGGCAATTTTAAATGTTGTCATGTAAATAATTAACTAAAAATCGAACACACCTTCAAACTAATTAGAAATATTTACAGTTCATAGATTATTAATAAAATAAGTTAACACAACACTAGCGAAATAGTAATCGATATTTACAAACCCTGAATACTACTTAATCGGAACCACTAAACATAAGAATTCAACATTCATTGAAAATACTACAAGTACAATATTTCATTGTTTAGAAATTTATCCGTTTTTTGTTCAAAATTTTTTTTTAAAAGTATAACGAATTTTTACAAAAGTTACATCTAAGTAAAGGAATACACGTTCTTATATTATGTACTAGTAACAAGGTCCAGAGAGAACATTTTCAACATAATTAACTCGTAAAAAGAACTCAAACACATTAAAGCTCTTTTCAAAAACGCTATAGTTCAAAGCATATCGACAGAAGGTGATATACCCCAGCTACATAACATCTAAACGAGATGTTTCGGCGTTCGACGTCCAAAAAACTACATACTGAAATCAAAATATGTTACACAACCTCCCATTTCAATAAAGCACTTTAACGTTTTATTTAAATGTGCACTACTCGCGTAAACTACAGACAGTATACAACGTAACGTATTTAAGTAAAATACGGGAAATTACTTATTTACAATTTATTTTTACGGCCTGACGTTTCAGATGCTTTATTATTCTTTACATGTTTTAAACGGTTAAAAGTGTTTTCTTTAAACACCCATTTCATAAATGTTTTTAGACAGTCTAACATATTTCAGAAAAAATCTATTTTTATTATAGAAACATGTTGGGCATTTAATTTGTATTTATAGCTATAAGATAAAATTGTTCACACTTAACTAGGTTTAGAATTACTAGCAACAAAACGATAGCGCCTGAAAAGAGCCTACGAATATTAATCGGTGGAAATTAAAACAAGTCAGACTATAGAATCGTTAAGCTTATCCGATTTAGACAATAAAGGTACACTGCTGTAATCCTTCAAGTTCTGGTTTCCCTTCCTCGTGCCGTTGTCAAAGGAATTGGCGGCTCCCAATTTAGGAATCCAATTGTTGTTACCTATCTTATTAGAGATGTGATTTATCGAATTGATTTGTGCGTCCTTCAGCTTGACTTTCGGCTGGCCGTTCTGATTGTGGCTCAGTGAGTTAACATTGAGTGATATGGAATTAGTGACGCTTAGCTTATCGTCGTCGGTGTGGTCTCCGTTCGCTACGGGCTCGGTGGGGTCGGATAGCTGCCTTTGCATTTTGACAACTTGGAGCAGTGGTTGCGCCTCCCTCTCCAGCTTCACCAGGTCTGGCTTCGGGTGGAAGACGCCGGAGCCTCGCCTGCTGGATGACCTTGAAGTGTTTTCTAGTCGCTGTTTGAATGGTGTTAGGTGAGAGAGCGAGCCACTGTTGTACAACTGGTTTTGCAGCTTTAGCAACGGTTTTTCTTTTGGCGCGTTCGGGTCGTAGATTTCGCCCAGCAACCAGTATGTGACTAGAACTCCTTTCCCCTAAAAATATACATTATATTAATAATAATGTATGTTTGGGTTAAACTGCTATGTTACTGAAATAATTTTGAGACGGCAGCGGTCTTAGAAGAATAACATGTAAAATAGAATATACAAAAATTATAGCGGGTTAGAGCTATATTTAGGAGAAGAATGTGGGTGTGGCGCAGACGCGTTACTGTTTCCGTTTTGATAACGTTATATCTAGTGACAACTGTTTCGGGATTCAAACCCGGGACCACAAACATTATTGCAATCCATATATGTTAACTAGAAACTAATGTTCTGTGTATTATAATGGAATAAATTGTAAATAGATTCTTGAATAAGGAGGCAATAATTTTCGTGAAGACATCTCGCGAAATGATATTTATTCAAGTCAAGTATTGATTCCTATCTTTCGTTCATATTTTCTATGCTAATGAGCAGGCAAAAAACAATTACTTCGAGAAATAGGCATAGGGAAAGAGAATTTACATTTTATTGGCATTAAACGTTCTTTACTTTACCAAACGGAATTTCTACGTTTTCTGTCGAGGCAACGAAGACAAATCTAATGAATAGCTTTTTCTTTTTATGTTAACGTTTCGGATGCCTCGTAGCGGCCGTAGACGTAGTACTGTATAGACGTAGTGTGTATGTTCCCAAATATATAACATCGCAATAATATATACGCTATCGAACTTTTGACTTTGGATATTCGGATATCCACAGATTGAAAACGAAACGCGATTAAACTTCACGGCTTTTAACATCTGCACGGTCGCGTTGGTTCGTGGCTTGTACGGAATTTTTCATAATTAAATATTTCCGAACGACAAAATATTTAAAAAAAAAATTTTTTTAGAAACTCGTTGAACGCGGTGGGAATCGAACCCAAGACGACCAAAGAGCACTACTATAACCTAAAAATTTGCAATTGAGATAAATAAAAATAAATTAATTCCATTCAGCCATTGCTCAGTTATACGTGTCTAAACAATTCTGTTGTATTTTAAATGAAAATGAAGTAGTGTAGTTTACTTTTGAAGTTGACAGATGACATATCAGCATATATGCAGATCATTAACACCACTGTGTTATAAAAAGTATAAAAAGAAAGGGAAGGAAGTGAACGCAATTATTATTTAATTATAAATCCTGTAATAAATTGTCTTATATATTTATGATATACCTTCATAGCAACTTCCCCCCCTGCACTCCAACTTGAAAGTCCCAAAAGTGTCAAGCAAGGCTTTAGTCGTCGGTGACACGTGAATCTTCAAGGCTTCACCATTTGACTCCATCCGCGAAGCCGTGTTCACCGTATCTCCGAACAGACAGTACCTGGGCATTTTCAAACCCACCACGCCAGCTACACACGGACCTAGAGAATAGACATTACTTTAAAAAGAAGCTGGAAATGCATTTTAAATATCGGTATTTGATTTTCCACCATGATTGTATCTTATCAAACAGTAGATCAAAGGGAAGTGAAATAAAACATGTTTTTAATGTATATTTTGAATTTCAACTTCAATAAAGTTTTTTTTACCAACTTTTATAATACTACTTAAAAAACATACTTAAAAAAGAAGAGTATTTTTTAACTTCAATTCGATATATTATGTTGTCATTAATTAAGTAATATATACTCATCATACAATAGAATCGAATAAGTCGACTTGAATAGTTTAATTAAATGTTAAAATTTTGTAATTGTAAATAAATGTTCAAAAAAATTGTTTTTAATTTTATTTTTAATTAAGTAAAAATATTTAACTCTAAGATTATAATTAAATTCAAACCCAGAAGCGGTAACACAAAGTATATTCATTATGCATAGACAAATTTGCATGTAAGCTTTGATATGAAGACTTCATTTTCAGCATACAGATTCATAAATAATGACATCTCCGAAGAAACGTTAGCATCCCAAGCGAAGTGTAAGAAACTAGTTCTGGTACCATTTGATATACTGATTAATCTAACCATAAGTAATCTGGGGCATGGGGCAAAAACTATGTCCTTTTCACTTGTTCGCATCTAATAATCGCTTAAGTTTGTTATTTAAGGCCAAAGTGCAGTTAGAAGCATTATGTGAGTGATACTATTACTGAGTGTATACTATTAGATGAGTTGACATTTTATTTACTCTTTTTATTTATTATTTATATAATAATTCATTTAGTTAATAGTTATTGCATTAATGTTATAAATATTATTTTTTTTTTAATTTAATAAACCAGACTTTATAATTTAAAAATCGAAAATAAATTGAAAACATTTTTCGAAACGGGTATCACTTGAACCGGCATCGTCAGCGTTCCGTGCTGTTGCTCTACCAATTGACTCGGTAGCTCAATTTCAGCCTTTTTAATTTATTTTCGTCTTTTAAATTATAAAGTACCTTCATGTGCTGTGAAAAATAGTTTAAAAGTTTTCAAAACCAGACTTTGTGCAATATTTAAAAAAAAGAACTTATTATGAAAGAATTCGAGAAATTATTGAATTAAAATAATTCAATAGTGATTGGCCATGCACATGACACTCGACAAACAAAGTAAAATGCATTGCAAAATTCCGGGAACGAGTCAAAATATTTCTCGTACACGTAATAGGTTCTCGGCGAACGTGAAATATTTCTGAAAACGTAGTGAGTGTCACTGAAACTGGAATTTACGCTGTTCTCGAATTCATGCTCGATAATTTTACACTAGAACCACTTCACAACTCATCGCCTATTTATTTCGAAGAGCTTTGCAATGCTCGAAATTAATTTTCTCGTTAGCAATATATTCTTCCACCTTGTATAAATGTAAATACTTCACTTAAGCATTAAGTTGAACGTTGAGCAGTATTTAATAAACTGGACAAGTTCCGTACCATAAACTAGGTACAAAAATTTCATAATGTAAGCTTTTTTTATTATTTTAAATTGCCTACTTTAGCATTTATGATATCGAGCAAAATTTACGTTTCATCGCGTATGTGCGGTTTTCCTCTAAATATAGGGTTATTATTATTATAGCAACAGAAATAGCACAAGCGGGAAAAATTTTAAAAGGTTATTTAATCAATTTTACGCAGATTTTGTTTAGCTTAGACAAGTGTACATTTAATTGTAGTGGCTACGCAATTCTTTTGAAAAACTAAGAAAATAGTTTAGAATGGGTACCTACAATTTTAAATTGCCACATATATTTAGTATTGTACGATTATTAAGTATGTTGGTTAAAAAAAAAAAAAATTGCATTTAATCAATTTCAGATTTTTTTATTAGGTATAATTTAAAAATTGACAAACGACCTACAAAAGACATTTCACAAACTTACCAGAATGCAATCCGATCCTCAGCTTTAGCTGATCCTGGGGTCTATGCCTGATCTTGAAGCGCCTGACCGCATCCAGCAATGCCAGCGCCATTCTGGCCACCTCGCAGGCGTGGCGTGTTCCATTCCGTTCTGGCAACCCTGACACGACCATGTACGCATCTCCTATCGTCTCTACCTGATGGTAGATATCATTTACTTATATGTCAATTATGTAACCTTTACAATGCAATATATGAATTAAAAATCAATTAGTAAATAAATTAGATTAATAAAATGAATAAAATATTTTAAATAAAATTACGACACGGGCAGGAGTTGAACCGGCGTCCACAACGATCCGTTCTGCTACTGTTCAATTTATATTCAATTTTTAATTGCTATAGTGCCATCGTGTCATGTGAAAAATATTAAAGTTTTTAATACAGTAAATATTTTTTCCACATATTACAGCACGGTAAAAACATTTTTGAATACCACCTCTTTATACCTTCATTCATTCTTCTACTTATACCTTCATTAAGAATCTATTAAAATAAAGTAATGGCCACGTGGTCGTGGGTTCAAGTCCCGCCTGGCTTAAATCATTTAAAAGCAGCATCGAATACTTAATATATTCTTATAGCATTTTTTTTATTTATACCATAATAATGATTAAATAACCTGCCTAATTAATTTCGTTAATAAAACGTGTATAAATCTGAAAAAGTAATTTAAAGTTAAGAACTCATGTCTATGCAAATTAACTTTCTTAAGTTATAAGCTTATAAAGTTAGATGATTATGGAAAGCATTTGTTTTGACTCGCTTTGTAAAGCGTTTTTGATTTTTTATCCCGTCAGCATTATTAAACAGCGGGCATTTTATGAGTAGCCCCAATTCAGTCATATTTTTGCCAAAAACCTAATTTCGTAACTTATATTAACAATATTATTCTAATATAAACTTCTTAAATATGAAAGTTATTTTGTGTATTACGGTAAAACGGTGCCAACGTTTTATTTTTTCAAAAGCAACACGAGTCTGTTTTCACTGTGTGGAAACTAAAAACTTTATATTGACAATGTAATTAAATTTAAATAAACCTTTTAACGCCTTAGAACTTCATTTCATTATCATCATTTCATTTTTCAGATATACATTTTATTTATAAAAACTTATAAAATCTAAATACTTTATAATTTTATAGTTTACCTTATAAACGTCGTAGTTCTCTACAATAGAGTCGAAACAAGTGTACAAGTCATTGAGAAGATCCACAACTTGCATTGGAGTAGAGGACGCGGAGAGCGCAGTGAAACCGACTATGTCAGAGAAATAAATGGTCACTTGCTCGAACGTTTCAGCCACCACAGACTGCCCGTTGATTAATTGGGACGCAACAGACCTGGTGCAAAACACTTACATTAATTGTACGATACATAAAAGTTCTGTGATTAACTCCCATATATTTAAATACTAAATAAGTATACAATTGACTATGTAAGTAAAAATTACACAAGCGTGGAATTGGTAACAATAATATTAGTGTTATTTTCATAAACAAAAACCTAATTCCAAAGGTTTTTCTGGAAAAAGGAACTGATCTATATCTACGTTTACATATTTACCAACTATTAACAAAAAAAATCTTAATTTTGTTTTCATTTGTTGGATAAAATTAGTGCTGCATAGAACTAGATGATAAGGTCAAAAATTTCAGTCCAATAATTTGTTTGAAATTAATTAAAATAAACAAAAGGCATTTTTTGTCAAGAAAATTATTCTGCCGATTGAATAAACAATTTTAACTGTTGAAAAGAAGGAATATATTACTTAAGTTATTATTAATTTATTTTTACTACGTGGTATGAATTTGTGGGGAGCCAAATCACAGGTATTAGTTAAACCGTTGAATATATATTTAATTTAAATAATACATAAACTACAGACAATGTGTGTGTGAAATCCCGATTGGGGAAACAGGGTGAACACATTTCTGAGTCCGTTTCACTGATCCGTTCTTTAACAGGGAAGTAGTAGATAATAAAAACTCAGTAGTAGGTAGATATTAAGTGATATTCGACAAGACGAAAATTTGTATCAAAACTTAGGAGCAATTACTTCAGTCGTAAGAGATTCGTGAAACCGAGTAATATAAGTCTTGACAACAAGAGCAACTTTGAATTGCGTTCGGGAGCTGGAAACTTGATTTGGGGTTAAAGGATTCACGGTTCGAGGGTTTTAGATAGGGACGTCCAAAAACTTCTTCCGTTAGTTTGCTAGACAGGTGTAGTGCTCAGGACTGATAAGTCAGACAATCGGAGGCTAATTGTATAAAATATGTGTTTTTCTTTTACCGAAGATAAAAGAGGATATAAAAAAAAATATGTTATAATTGTCGTAAAAGCTATAGATATAAAATAGAATTCAAATTTATCACTGAAACAGAAAGTATAGCTGTCTTATGTCCTACTTACTTGTAGATTTTTTTATTTTTAATAGACCCAAAAAAACCCGAAGCGTGGCATTATTATTAGCAATTTTAAACACGAAATATAATTGTATTATTAAAGTAACAAAGTTTTCGTGATCAACGTCAAGCTTAAAAGTAAATCTAACGTTGAAAATATATTAAGCAAGTATATTGCGCATTTCCAACAGTTACAAGTGTCATATTAAATAAGAGCCACTCGCGTAAAGTGCCGACAACACACTCACTTCGGCAATAACTGGTACAGCAATTCCTCGCACTTCTTCTTCTCTTCCAAGTAATCTTGTGTCCGCTCGCTAACTAATGTTTCCAAGTTGTTCGCGTATTGTTCCATACGGGATAGCAGGTTGTCGAGAATATTACTGCTTTCCTGGGATCTGAGGACAATGTTGTTACTCGTTTAGAATAATTTTGTAAGCAAACATCTTAATAGAAAATATGAGTGATCTTATTTATATAAGTTTACTTTATATTTAACACTAGTATTCAAAATATTATAACAACAATTCTTCATGACTGGAGATGGTAACTGCTGTTGTAGCACAAACTAAAAAGGTTACATACCCAATTAAAATGTATAGCTCTTGTTGGTTTAAATTAAAAGTTGCCTTTGTTCAATAAATCCTTAGTAGGTATGTTCCTATTTCATTGACGCTTTCTCCAATTTTCAAAAATACCTTTTAATTCTTTTATTTATAATTTCAAAAACTTGTGAATGAAGCTTATATTCATTTCTTTTGTTAGTATTATTATATATTTCGTTTTTAATTGTTGAATATTGAGAGTGTTTATTCAAGTATTAAAAGATTATAAAAGACGATGTAATACTATCAAAGTTACGGTACCAATTGGTATATAGACCAAATTAAAGCAATAATAACTATATCAACATTATTGATAACTAGGAACATCAGCTATACAAACTTAAACATTCTGAAACTAAGTCAAATAAAATAACTCCAGATTTAATATCGAGTTGGTAATATTGCATTTAATAGAATAAAGTTTCTCCTAGAGAAGTGCTCTTAGAGCAAAATCACTTCGGAACTCTCGAGTGCTTCAGTTGGTAATTGTAGTGTCGGAAATAGCTAGTCCTATATATTGACTTAGACTTTGTGTTATTTGTAGAATTGAAAATTACATTTGTGCCAACTCCTTGAGAAATAATATTGATTACTAGATTTGACTCGTTGGTCTTGTGTTACTTGATTTTATTGTTTTTCGAGCGTTTCGAGAGTTTTATAATTTGAATTCTATATCTCTATTTGTCACACCTCTTCTGTGTTATAAGTAATAATTTTTCTGTAGAGTAACAAAAGTCCATGTGTGTATTTTACGTCTATGACTATAAAAACCAGTACTCCCTAATTTTTTCTAAATATAATTAAACAATAAGAAAAAATATTTATAGTAAAAAAAATATCAAAGTAAATTATCTATACTAATATAATAAAACTGAGAAACTGAGGTTGATTTGAATTAAACAATTATTTTTAGCGAAAACACGAGAAAAATGTGGAAAAAAACGAGAGATTCGTCTTGAGTTTCCTTAGTGTTGCGAAAACGAACACAAAAAAATGTTTGAATGAATTTTTCTTACTCAATTAATTTAAAACAATGCCTGGGATACTATATGTCTGTCATTAAATATTAACTCACTTTATGGGAATCAAATTTCGTCGAAAAATTTGGCACAAAACCGTTCGTTAGGTCAGCTTGTATTGTATAAAAATAAAAACAACTCACTTATTGAGCCTCCGTATAGCATGTTTCAAGTGGGCGAAGTCCGGCCTCTCAGCGGGGTCCTCGGCCCAGCACCGTCGCATCAGCTCGGTTGCATCTTCAGCCTCACACGATCTGTGATGTGTCGTGTTCGGTCGGAACCCAGCACTTCTGACCGCTTCGATTATTTCTGAATAAAATAAATCACTTTTAAGTAAAATGCATCTTTATATTCTATTTTATCACATAAATAATATTACTATTCTATTATATTCTAATAATAGGTGTTTTGTGCAAAATTATCGCCTTCCTTTATTCCAAAATATCAAAGAAGCGCATCGTTTATGCTTAAGTTTTCACAGCCTAGAACTACGGGGTATTTGTAACTCTGTTTATAAGGAGGTTAAATATTAATACATTTTTCTTTAAGCCACTTTTTTATGATAGATTAGATTTCAAGATCACCCCTTTCACTTGAAAAGGGACTTATATAATTTAAGATGTCACATTGTTACGAATTTACGAGTATTGTTACTACATTTCTAATTACTATTGTGTTATGTTACACTTATTACTAACTGAACTTTTAACAAAAACTTGACGATAGAAGGAGTGGCGGCGAGTTTTTTGCCAATTCTTCTCGTTTGTAGAACAAATCCGCTCTTGATTTGGGTATTTGTAGTAAATGTAAATTTTCAGCTTTAAATTGCGATTGCTAATTTAACCTACATGAATAAATGTTTTTTTTTTGGGATGGGTATGCGTACAGTTATATTCTTATGTTCCGTTGTTGCCTGTGCTGTGATGTATGTTCGCATTGCTAAGCAACTTTATTTTGAAACAAATATGGATGCGATGCTATAATTAACATTCACAAAGAGATATAATAAGTTTATGTTTCATATTCCCAGATGATTCAAATAAACCGTAAACCTATTCTTAAGAACATAGTAGCAAACAGATTCAGATGATAGAATCGTGGAAAATATGCTCGCGACTGTGAAACATTACATTTTATTTTATTACTCATAAACCCTCTAATGTTGTTCATTCTTCCCTATCTATGGCGAACAGGAATCCTCGCGGCCTTTGAGCTACAAAAGAATTCCTTCGCCATAAACATTTTAAGAACTCGCAGCGACTCTTTCGTAAATATGTTTTTCTATCATTATTTATGAGATTAGAATTCCTGCCTTCTGTGCCTAGTTGGCTAAATTACGTTCGAGACTGTGGAGAACTGAGCATCATTACTTTGCAAGGATAAAAAACACGAACAAGCGAGTTTATTAAACATATGAAAGTATCGTACATAAACCTAAACTATTTTTTATCCGTTTTATATGCGAAATATATAAGTTACATTATTTTCGATTTATTACAACTATGCCTGATGTTTCGGGTATATTTCTAGTTCTGCACCATTAACCGTGTTTAATTGAATAGATTTAACTTTTTAAATGAAATCTTTGTCATTTCGCATGTAATTTAACAGTTAAGTTTTATTTTCTTTTACCGACAGTTAAATTTTACTTTAATTTGTCTAATTGATTTTTAAATAACTGAATAGATACATTTTCTAAAAACGATCAGAGCATAAGTAGTAATCAGATATAGTCAACGTAATTTTAATTAATTTTTTTTTGTATGTAACAAAATCAAAGACATTCCCTATTTTTTTCAGATTGAGAAAAACGAAAAGTCGCGTAATAACGTCACATACATTAGAAGTTTTACCTTCGACCTTACTTTTCTAATATTCAACCCTGTGAGCTGACTCTTTCGGAATTTTATACATAAACTCTCTTGTATGATAGTTGTAGACTTTGCCAGATTTCCAAGGAGGCTGTGACCTTTGGCTTTAATAGTATTCGGAATTGAATTTGAATTCTTGGGAAGCATAATAGTTGTCTGTAGCAGGGAAAACAGGACGGGATATATAAGAAAAATAGTAACTTTATAAATTAACGATTTTAGATGAATATATCAAAAGGTTAAAAAAATCGAGAATGGCGTGTAGATTACGGTAGCACAGAACGTTGTGGATACATGTTCAAATCCTGTACGTGTCTCAATCTAAAATCGATTTATACATTACATAGTGCCACCATGTGCAATAACATTTTAAAAAATATTAAAGTCAAACGTTAAACTCTGTAATTTCATCTGTAATGATTTTTTTAAGACATGAAAGCATAAGAAATTGTACACTAACAATAAATACGCGAAATGTATAAGTTAAAATATTTTTAATTTATTATAACTAAATCCCGTCGTTTTTGATATATTTCGCATTTTACACGTTAAAAATGTTTTATTAAAACGAATTCGTAGCTTTAATAAAAAACGAATAAACTGATGTTATAAACAATCTTATACACGCGATAGCCTGAAATTGTGTTATTACACAATTGAATTTAATCAAGTGCCTCGTAAGTGCTAATTAAGCTATTCCAATGACAGAGTGGTAGATCAAAGTTGGCTTGATTAGTAAGCGCGGCGGAATTGCTGCATTGAAAGCTATACGCCTCAGACACGAGGATATAACGTCATATGTGACAAGTATATTGCCTGAATGGATAAGACTGCCTCATTTTAGTGGTTTACTAATATATTATATAGTGACCACGGGTCGGAGGAAATAATAATTCAGTTTTAGAGATTACTATAGAAAGAGAAATATCCTAATATATTTAAACATATAACGAACAAATGTTGACTGTGTACATGTAGTAATACAGAGACTGAATCCATAAGATACACGGGGATACACCTTTTGAGAACGTGAAGCGTGTCCCGGATGAAATTTTGTTGTTTCTACCAGTTATTTATTATCTGGAAGTTCTATCCTTAACAAGTAACGAAAATTAAATTTTTAGCTACTTGTTTTAAAGTGAACCCGTTAATTACTACCACTGTACCAACCGACCTTTAAAATATATCGAAATTATATATTTATAGTAATAATGTGTTTTGATAAGACAAAAAAATCTTAAAATGAACTGTAATCTTTACTGTCAAGGTTTTAAGTTTCTCACGAGAAAACAAAACCTCTCCCACACATATATGTTTCATGACGCGATATTTATCTTTGTAAAATTTCACATACGTGCATGTTTAGAGTTTACTTTTGTTTTCCAAAGTTTTTGCTATAAGATCGTAAAGTTTCATAATGCGTGAAAAGTGAAGTTTATGAGGCACATATATTTTTTAAATTATTTTCTTAGTGATTTGCCTCTTCTTCCTTGGTCAGAAGCGACCTGGATTACTAATTTTTTTATATCAATAATAGTAATAATGCTATCTTATATTACTTATTATTAAAATGTTGTCTAGAATTAATAGTTGTTATTGACTTTGTGGAACTACTTAAGAAATATGGGTTGTATTTTGACGTTACTTATTTGGGGGGTAACGTCAAAATTCAAGTCAAACTATTGTATTCATCACCAGCCACACTATTATGTCTGTTTAATTCGATCTAATAGCAACATCCCGAAATGATTAAATGTTTTTTCGGGTTTCGAACCAGCTCAACGCAATAGTTTAATTATTGATGTTTTTTTTTTAATAAAGGAGGACAGACAAGCATGGGGTTTTCTCTGAAACCGAAACGTGATTAAACTTCACGGCTTTTTCATCTGTGGATGGTGATTCGTGACCCGGACGGAAATTCGATATTCCTACCACCCATTTATTATCCAAATTTCGACACAAAGTCCAAAATGTAAAAAATGATAAATTTATTAAAAAAAATATTTGACCTGGTGGGGATCGAACCCACGACCCATTGATTATTAGCCGTACATATTAAAAAAAAAACACTTTAACGGTTTAAAACGCGATTTATTAGTTAAACTTATTTGAAAATTATTTTTAACTTCGGCCCCACATTTCGGATGCTTTGCAGCAGCCGTGGTCATGGGGAGACCGTACATTGCTACCGTTACACAAACGAGCGCGTTACTATTATATATACTTTATTTTGAATAACTCACCTTTGGGTGACATTTCAATGCCAGGGCCTAGCCAGAACACCCCTTGCCGATTGACTATTTCATGCATGATAATGGCGAAAGAGTAAACGTCCCCCTTCTGCGAACCCTCGGGGGGAGGATCGGGCGTCCTGAGCAATTCAGGAGCCGTCCACAGAAGACCTGGCGAAAGATTTATAGGGCATAAACTACGTCTAAGCCTATCTTAATGTTTAGTACGCATTTCATCTTACGCCTACTTTACTGAGAAATAGGGGCAGCGATTATGAAAAAGGTTGTGGATTTTAGCTGTAAACATCAAGTTTAAATCTCCAATAAAATTATTCAATGTCATTATTTCTTTGACAATATCAGAATTTCAGTTAAAGCTTACGTAAGAAGAAAGTTCTTAAATATTTAAAATTTTTACGTGTATTTGAAAGCTTAAAATAATTAAATATCCTTAAAGGATTAAATTGGTTTATAATAGTATTAAATCGTAGAACAAAACAGTGACTTAGAGTGACAGTAACAGTGAGGTTAGATTTCATCTGTTAAACAGATCTAAAGGTAGAACGTGTAATTTTAAATATTTTTGAAACAGATTGACTAGTACATCTTTTAAGTTTGTTATGTTTATCACTATTTTTATCCTTAGTATCCTCAAAACTTTAATGTTTAACCAAACTTTATTTCATAAAAGAATTATAAAAGTGCCCAATTGTGACTTTCTCAAGCAACGAACAGCTTTAATCGTAAACTCATTAATTAACTATTTAAAAAGACTTACGTGTCCAATAACTATGAGCTCGCATATCCTTTTCGGAAGTCCTCAATGCGTTGAGGCCGAAATCGGTTATTTTGAGAACGAAACGCGAATCAACAACGCAATTACTCGACTTCAATGCGCCGTGCGACCGGATGTCCGTTCCGTGAAGGTAGTGCATACCCTGAGAAAAATATTTAAAAAATAAAACAATTATGGCTTGCTAAGTATGTATTTGACCTAAAAATTATGTAGAATATCTTTAATTTGCAGCGCCCTGCTGTGCTACCTGCGTTTTGTACGGTCAGCTCTATGATTCTTGTGTTTATTTAAATAAGTATTAAATTTACGTTATTACACAATACCCCTTCGATAGTAAAGGTCGAGTTGTAATAATTAATATAAATCTATATAAGCCACCAGCTTAAGGGTATTTTAATGATACGAAGTTTAGGTAATCTACACTTGCATGATGAAGTATGGAACTATAATGAAAATAATGTACATTCTAACAAAGAGTGACAAATCGATGACACTCTTTTTATATAAATTTTGAATAATGATATTCAACTTTATATTCTAATATGTTAATTATATTTAAAAAATATTAGGACTTCTCTATTTCCTAGAGAAGTCCTAGGACAGGATATTTTGTGATAAATCACAATTAGGGCTCGTAAAATTTTCGAAATTACACTATCGCCGCTTCCATCAACCGACTTCAAACTTAAATTAAATAAATTCTTAATGCAGTTCAAGAGGACAAAAACAGATATTTCTTATAATATATAAGTGTGAAAACAAATGCAAAGTTTCCACAGGCCCTTATTTCCAATTTAATTTTATTCAGCTCAACAAATCTCATGCAGAAATGTTTCCGCCCCAACAATACCTGTTGATGAATAGCTAAATTGGTTTCGTTTTTACGCTTGAATAACAAAATATATGGTTGAAAGAACAATCTAGCTATTAATTTTGGTGCATCAAATGTTATGTCACAGTAGACAGGAAATAGGGGTCTAAACCTTTTTTTTAAATAGCCAATCTATTCCAATACTAAAGAGCCTACTTTTTACGCATTCTTAATTAATTAGGAAATCACAAATGTTACGCTATTCATATATACTCGCAGGATCGTAACCCAAGACCTAATCTGAATTTTTTTGGTTTTTTTTTTGGGGGGTTTCGCCCTTTTTCTTTTTTTTTTTTTTTTTTTTTTTTTTTTTTTTTTTTTTTTTTTTTTTTTTTTTTTTTTTTTTTTTTTTTTTTTTTTTTTTAAATAAAATGTTGTTCTTGACAAGTTTTTCCCCTTATAATTAAAATAGTTCGATTCGATCAGTTGCTTCTAGGGTAGTAACAAATTGTGCCATTTACATATTTATTTTTAACTGTCTTTAAGTATTGTTTTTTAAGTGTTAAGGTTGAAATAACATTGCACGAGAGGTGCGTGACAATATGACGATGACGTGTAGGACAAGATAGGTCAATAGAGTGCAACAGCACGGAACGCAATGCATGCTAGTTCAAGTCATGCCCGTGTCGTAATTTTTTTTCAGTCTAAAATCGATTTTTATTTAATTTAATGGAATAATAACATGTAAAAAATATTAATTGTTTCAAAAGTATTTTTTCCTTTTACTTTTAATTCTGTGTATTTTTATTAAATGTAATAATACCCACCCTCACAATATCGTGCATCAAACTGACTTTGAACATCCAGTCTAGCTTTATAGTATCATTTTCTAGAATATCCTGCAGCGAGCCTTTCGGGCAGTACTCAGTCAGCAGACAGCAGTGCGGTGGGTCGACGCACGCGCCATAAAACCTCGCCAAGTGATCGTGTTCCAAATCTTTCATCTTTTTAAGCTCCAAAAGCAAAGGACGAGTTAGATCGATGCGTTGCTTATCGACCTTCTTGATAGCGACGCGGCAGCCCTTATAGAAAGCGCAGGGCGCGTAAATTTGTCGATCGCCAGCCAACGACATGCCCTCGTCTGAATAAGCGGTCTGTGGACAAAGTGAAGGTCGCACTTGAAACTTTTTCGTTTCGCGTGTTTTATGCCCGATTCATGAGAAAATTTACGGAGCGATCCGCTGTTACGCGAATTCAACAAAATTCACATTCATTTTGCGATAAATTTCCATTAACGATTTGAAAAAGAATAATTGTTAAACGTTGATGTTTTCGAACGTTTTGAGTCCCCGTTTCATGTTAAATATGATCAAACGTAGAAAAAAATATGATTGAAAGTCTTGTAATGTTTGCGTGTTTTAAAAACAACAATATCAACCGAATGTGTAAGATAGATATCTTCCTAACTATAAAGAAACTATAAAGACAGAACTCTATTTAAAACTTAGTAACGTATAAAGTGCTTTATTGCAAACCATTTCAAGATTTAGTATAGACTTAAATGCAGACATTTTTCATATTCTCCGTTAAACATTGCTCAAGTGGCAGGAACTTTCTCGAAATAAGTAAATCACTTCTCACTCACCCCTGAGCTATACCTTCGAGCGAGTGAATGAAGGCTTCCAGGGAACCTGCTGGCTCCGATCAAGACGTCACTCCAGCTTACTCGCCAAGTCATCATTGCTATTTCCGCTTCTAATTTGTAATGCCTATAACATACAATACACTTTTAAACTAGCTGCTCTAACGTCCTTTCCAGATGGGAGGTTGCAGGTTAGACTTCGTTAATAAAATTACATATATAAATGTATTATTGTATATATTATATACAATACCTCCATGGCCCAATGTTTATACGCTAATGCTATACCAATGTATAAAACAAACAGGGCTATGGAGGTTTGTTAAGGCGAGTAGTTGAATTCGGATCCAGGAAAAAATAGATTTGTTTTAAGTTTATTTCTACTGCACTATACGTATGAATTAATTTTATTACAATATAATCGTTTCCATAATAAATTTAAACAAAATAGTCTTATATGCGTACCAGAGTTCGAAAATTGAATTATTACAAGGGTAGTTAACTTGGGCTTTGGAGGGGATAACCCGGTATGTAATAAAGTACTATTTTTAGATTTGAAGTCCTAGGATTATAGTATTTTCCTTCGCACATAGGGAATGGGGTAGAAGCACATCTTTACCACTTTGTAATTGATTTCTAATGTCTACATGATCTGTGTCAGGTAGGACTGTGCTAAAAAACACAATGATTACGTCGTAGTAGCTTATGCCGAAGACTTTAGTCGATTTTTGTTTTAAAATATCGAGTCAAACAAACTAGAATAGACTTAAGAAAAACTAAAAATACTATAGTTATGATAGAGAACATATACTTCATACACCTCGATTTACTCACAAAGATGAGACAATTATGACTCAACATTCTTAGAGTTACAAGATTTCCCATAATCTGTCATTAAAGGTATCAAGATTTAAAGCGATTACATAAATTGTAATAACAATTTAAACCATAATTAATACATACATCAATGCGGTGACTTATAGAATTTGTTTAACATACAAATGGTTACATAGTATGTTTATCATGGCACCTATGTTATATAAAATTGAATCAGAATTACCCCGCGGTGTTCCCTCTGGGATTTTCCAACTTTCCACCCCTATTAAGCCTCTTTTCCTTATTCTAATTTCAAAAAAACTAAACTCAGTTTAAATTTTAGTAATATTTAAAGTAGATAAACAAACTACGTTTTTTTAATGTTTTGAATATGGACGCAAGTTAGATTGACGCGGATAAATTTCGCGTTTATACCGGAAGTTAATATCGTATCCCTAATCCTTTCCAAATCCTCGCTATCTTTGATAGACGTTTAAATCCATTTTCTTAGAAAAGCTTGTCAAGTAATCCGCGTATCGATTTCCATGTTATTAAATAAAATAATATAACTAGGGACGTATTTATTTATCCCCGTTCAGTCCCCTGCTCGGCTGCTGCAAAGCATCCTTACACGTCGGGCCGTAGTCAAATTGAAAATTAAACCGTTAAAAGTTAAATCTCGCGTCAACTACAAACAATCCGTAACGATGGACTATTTTACTAATTTAGAACTAAATTCTACAAAAACAAACTAAACTAATAGCTCTTGTTTTGTTTTCAACGTACAGACCGCTCGCACTTGAATGTGTAATAATGACATGAATGCATTTGTAATAATTACTCGATTCATTGAAATGCAATAACATGATTGTGTTTGATTATACATTAATAATAGTGCGGCAGTTTATATTAACATTTGTAATGATTATCCAGCATATAATGATATTGTCTTTGCGATTTTATATAATGTAACTAAGCACTTATTCATATTATAATTATAGCATAAAATACTCATAAGAAAAAATACGGCCTTTTTTGATTGGGGTGTGAGGTAGACACTGTTCTATGCCTATTTCACTATTCTATGTTGTTTATATAATTTTGCCCTCGCCTGACCGAATCTATTAATCTTACTTCCCTGGGATTCACAACCTATGAATTGTAACGTTTTGCACAATGTTTGGCTATAAAAATATTAATAAATGATTGCTATAAATTCAACAATATGCAATTAACACTGACTGATATCAGAATCTTAGCAATCAAATTTAACTGTGCTATTATTTATATACATACAGTAGACGAAATTAAATTTCTTACATAATATTCAATAAAATTATTAATGACACAAGTAGGTAGGCAAACATGGGTTCATATGAAATGTCGTAGCCTTATAACGTCTCAACAAGCTATTTTTGGCTCTAGGTATTCGGAAAACCACAGACGGATTTTTTATCTGTCGGTTCTCCGTGACCCGGACGAAATTTCTATGTTCCTCCCGCTCATTTAATATCTAGATTTCCAGACGAATTGGTACAACATATGTTAGAAAAATTGTGGGAACCACACCCATGACCAATTGATTATTAGCCAAAAATTTCTATGATTGGGGCAACAAGCTGAAAGTTTAAGTAAGTATTAAAGTTTCTGTTATTAATGATTAGCTGAATCGGTGACTTTTTACGCGTTAAAAAACCTAAATAACTATTCTACGCTTACGAAGAGTACACATTAGTGTTGTAGTTGAGTAGTACAAGCTGTTACCCAACCATGACGTCGTCTGCGTCCCGTCGTTCTTGCAAGTTAATCTTACAAGACAGACTGTCAAGGACTTTTTTGTAGATAATTTAAAGAGGAATCATTCTTTCCTACATATTTTATTACCAGTAGTTCTTGACATTAGCGCGTTCAAACATACAAACAAACAAACTCTTCAGCTTTATATATTAGTATAGATAAAAATCGTGAATAGCGCGATACAAACTGTCCAAACATTGGACGATTAAAAGCGATTGTATCCGATCAGTTAAGGGGTGAGTAATAATGTCCTATATCTTCTGGAAACTCACCCTTTTCCTCGTAATAGGAGTCCGAATGATTTATGGGAGATAGCTTAGAGACGATCGGAAACAATTTACCCCCAAAAAACAATAAGGCGATAAAGATAAAAGTAAACTATCTTTCCTTTATCCACTTTGGGTATTGACAAATGGGACGTTCGACACAATTTATAAGAAATTTATGTGGAAAATGTAATTATTAGGAAGTAGTTTATCAATAGAATAAATAAATTCGTATAATACAAGTGAGACACGGAAATACGGATTCATACTATATATAACAAAATCGCCTATCCCGGCTTTGAGTCCTGACTGTCTTAGAAGACGTAATTACAATTTAAACTAATACAAATATAAATACTGTCATACACAAGAAAAAAGACTATTGTTCATAAATATAGAGTGGACAGCAAAAATACATTTCTTTCTGGTAGTTTAAATAAAAAAAACATGTGAAAAATATTAGTCTTTAAATTTGATTAATGAAGTGACTGATAGCTCAAACGAACAGTGTTACCTTAATATTACTAATGCACATATTATTTCTCTTATCTATGGTTTATTTAATTACAAATATAATAGTCATGTTATGTTAAACATTTAAGAAGCATTTAAAATTTCAACAACTGTATGAGGCTTGATATTAACTCTTGCTATCAATATTTAAGAGAAGAAAAACAAAGTCTGGATACGTCATGTGGGATTTCCGACTAATATATTCGTCGTAAAGTCTCGTGTAAGGACATATTCCAATTTTATTTTATCACGCGACGGTTTATAACATTTTGTTATGTCTGTGGCTCTATTTTATTCATATTACTTGTGACTCTTGACAGAGAGACTGGTTCATAAAATACGTTTATTGTGTAAAGGAAAAGTCAAACTACGCCCCTTGCCGACATTTTTCCTAAGGGTTTCCCGTCGCCTCTATTTAATAAGCGATATAAGACTGTTAAAGCTTATATTAAAGTATATATTAAGTGTTTACGTATTGCCTGAGTTTAGCATATTGGTTACTATTGCCTTTAGTTTAGCCTTTGAGTTATTTTTTGAGCATTTCCAAAAATAATAACATAAGTTTTTATCATTTTTGTAAATATGACATCTAGTTGTTACCAAAAGACGTCTATAAAGACGTTGGGTATGTATCTATAGTCTCTCTAAGGCTGTCAAGCTTTTAAGCTGTCAAGTAACATTTTTTTATTTCTAGTAATTCTAATTCTTTTAGTTCTAGTTTTATTCGGTTTTCTAAATTGAAATTCACGCACTGAAAGTGTCCTCCACACCACAATTTGTAATTATACTTAAGAATACATAAGTATTGTTGTACATTATGATGTAAGTATGGTAAGTTGAAAATTACAACCGAGGCGATATTACTAGCCCGGGCTATAAGAAAGCAGAGGCTGTAATTTTCAAAGCGCACGTATGTCATACGACGTTTTATAACATATTTACGAGGAAATTAATAAATTCATCACTACTTGACGACATTGTCAAATAAAAACAATACAGTGAAAAGAAAAAGCGCGCGGAATTATTTTTACTTGTCCACAAATAAGCTATGCGCGCGCATCAACGTTTTTTTTTAGGCAAAGGTACAAAAACAGCCAGTATTACTAATAAAGTAAATTAATATTTTTGTGTTTTTGTTATAGATAAATGGTTGTAATTTATTGTCAAAATTAATTCAATTAAATAATTAAATGTTTATTTGTTATATTTCATTTCCCAAAGTTAATTTTATTCATAACATCTTGACCACTTTCTTGACATAAAACCTCTTTGCTAAGATTTTTAAAAGTTCATATTTAGACGGAATATCTTAAAACTTTATTTTTAAAAAACACGGGCCTTTTACATTATCGCACAAGTACCTAATGAGATACATTACGATATTTAAATTGGTGTAATTACAACCACTTTACGAGCAAATAAGTTATAAACTATAATTATACCGATAAGGGTTTAAAATGCGAAATATATTAGTTAACTTATTTTTTTTTTTTTACTACTGCCCGGCGTGTCTAACTACTTTCGGACTAAAAATAAAGCTTGTTAGATGCTGGCGCCATCTGTTTCCCACTAGTTGATATTTGGAGAAATTAACTGGTTCCACACATAACTTACTACTGACTTATGGTATCCCCTCGTTCACTAAGATGTTGTTTTTTTGGGATCGAATACTCTATAACTCTTATCAGCAGTATGACATAATAAAGGGCACGTTTAATTATAAATTGATGTGGATGATGTAGATGAAGGATGTAACGTCTGACATAATATGTTTATACAAACTTTCTTTATAGAAAGGTCAACTTCTAAAGATTCTCCAGACGGTTAAAGTAATTCGGGATGCGATAAAGGCATTAACTAGACATCGGGTTCAGACAGAGTAAACAGCTTAGTGTACGCTATTCATCTCTGTACGGTAAATCTTTAGAACATCCAACATTGTGATAATATTTGCGATGTCTTACATTATCCACATTCCTTATTTAATGTAAACCTTTGTGACAGACTATGAAATTTATATTATTACTAGCGGCCCTGTCCCGGCTTCGCACGGGTAGACAAACTTATGTCTTACAGATATTAAAATTATAAGCATGCTAATTAAAACGAGCATGAATCACTAAATTAGAAAAAAAATGTATGGCGCGTCCTCTATGTTAACGACCGTGGTCTATCTCGCTGGTTCAGGAGCCGCTGCGACCGTTCAGTGCACGCGTTCGCGAATTCCTAGCTTTATTTCCTTCAAGTCGCTGCGACGATCTTGCATTTTATTCTGCAAGATGAACCTGAATATTCGACAGATTCTCTGACTCGCGATTGGGACGCGTACACTCCTTTTACTTTCCAGGCTATCATTATCATTTTCAGAAGAAGACTATACGATATTTTGCTAATCTCGCTTGGGAACTATTCAGAGAAATTAAGCATATACTAATAATAATACAAAAGAAAATATTCAAGTTCAAAGGGATAAGTTCTAAAAAAAAGTTTAACAAATATTATTCAAAGTGTGATTCCTCTTAAAAGAACATTTTAAGTAGAGCATAAAAATTAATAAAAAAACTTAAAATATTCAATGTCGCTCGTGTCCATTGCGTAAGGAGCCCACTGCCCATTTATAAATGGTATGATAAAGTTTTGTCGCATTTCTATAAATTTGTCAAATGTAAAAAAGTAGTTATAGTTACGTAAATATAATAGTTAGACATATGCTCTCCGATGTTTTTTGTAGATATTAATATATTCTATAATATTGTCGAACATTTTTTTGTCCTATCATTAATACTTTTCGCAGCGTATGCGAAGAAAGACAATTTACGGATAATTTATTTACGCCTCCTGTTGGTTTTAGTAAGAATTTCTATAGATGGCTATAGTATCAAGTACTAAATATAGCCTATGTTACTCAGTGATAATGTAGCTTTCTAATGAAAAAGAATTATTAAAATCGGTCCAGTACTTTTTGAGTTTACCCGTTACATACAAAAATACAAATCTTTCCTCTTTATAATATTAGTATAGATTAAATTTAATCGCTCGTATTAAATTTCGCACTCGTTGCTTTGTTGTAGTATATATAAAAATTTATTTAACTTTAAATTGCAATAAATATTTCTTTATTATATTTAATTAAACTATGTTTTATGTTTTCGAAGTGTGCAACGAATAAAATGTTAACGGAAAAATTATATTTGTATTTGTCATTTAGTAACTTCTATTTTTTTACTTAAGCTGATGGAATGTAAACGCGATATACTAAACTGCGTTGTCAACCGCGTCAAGACATTACAGCATTTTTCATGGCGATTGTATTTAACCTGGACAGAATATTAATACTCCTACCGTCGATTTTGTTCTTAAAATTTGTTGACACCAAAGATAAAAATGCGGTTGTTTGTCAGCCATACATTACAAACATTGACAAACGAGCCAAAACAAAAATATTCGAACGATATTATTTGAAGATATGTAAAATAACTTTAACCTTTAATTAGTAAGTTATCTTCTGCAAAGTTGGACTTATTTTGTATATTTATTTATTTTATTTTATTTATTTCATTATAAACACATTCTACCATTGCAGAAAAATTCCATTGCGATAGACTTATTATATGTTATATTCTGCGTCTTAGTAATTAATAACACATGTTTTAAATGTAATTATAAGTACGGTATCTTATTGATTTATCAGCATCTTATAATATATTGTGGTAAATAATTGTAACTTTGTATATATTATGTCACAAGGTCAAACAACCTGAAAATAGTTACTGAAGGTAAATACATACATATACTTCTACACGTATTCATAATTTTGATTTCGCCAAATATGTGACATTCTGCGTTATATGGACAACTGAGTAAATGTAATTTAAATTATTCTAAATGCGAATGTTTAGATATGCGCGGGAGTTTAAATAGCGTATTTTATGAGTTACGATAATTATTAATTTCGCTTAAACTATTTTGTTACGCTTGTTTAAATAATAATTAATAACGTGTTAGTGCAGCTGTAAAGTGTAGCTTACCTATAAATAAATACTGAAAGGATTGCCAAGATGACCACTACGGAGCTCAGCACGATGCTAAGAATTGCATACACCGGTAACGCTGTAACAAAATGTGTATTATTAATAGTCTGATTATAGAATAGTACGATGTTTTTAAGATTTTTATTACTGTAATTATATTAAAATTAAGATCACAGCCTACTATTTAATCACACGTGGTAAATAACAAAGTTAACGTAGCAACATCTATAATTAAAATATTATAAACAAGCTTTTAGGTGCATTTATTTACATAATAATGATACATCTTTATATTAGTAAGTATTCATTTAGTGAAATGCTGGAAAATAATACATGTAATTACAGTCAAATAACTAATGTAAAACACATTATATTTAATTTAAAGAAAGGTAATGCCAAAAGAGTCTTGCGTCAGCACAGGTCGCAGTACAGTTATGCTACAACACTGATTTTCAGCAGAACCCTACTGTTCGTCTGTCATTTTAATTACTTTTTTAGAGGGCACAGATATTTGATTCCAACTTTTGAAATTCCTTCAACTTGTTCTACGAAAATTGAAGCAGATTTAGATAAGTTATTGAACCCAATACAGACATGAATGACTGTATATACACGCTGCTTTTATCAAAAATATTAAAGCTCGTCCAAGTGTGAAAGATACATTTCTTCAATAAAAGTGCAACGAAGCGAATTGAATAAAAATATTCAATAGCTAGTTCTCCTTTTAAAAATAGTCGAAGTTCAAATGTATAAGACAGTAATCTTATACAGACGAGGCGGAGCACGTTTTTCATTTGGAGAGATGTGTCTTTGATCGATTTGTTTAATTATAGCTTCGTTGATGTGAATAAGTTAAAAATAAAATGTTTGCACGAATAGATATTTTTGGTTATGGTCTGAAATGTTTTCATATTAATTGCGTAAGAGTTTTATAAAAATATGACGCAGAGAGAGAAACAAACAAGGCTTCTCTAAATGCTTGGATATTTATAAACAAGATGTGCTGTTGACCTTTTCGTTAACGATATTAAGAAATAAACAGACTTTAGACCAAATGTGGTTTTACACTAAACTATTGTATTTTGTTTTATAAGTATTGTATTGTTAAATTCTGCAGCGAGTATTAAACATTTTAAACGGTTTAAAACCCTATGAAGACAAATATAAGCTCATGCTGGAGCGAGTTCAAAACAAGTTTTTGAGATATTTGTGTATCCTTCTTATGTATCCTACACTGTTCGTACTGGGTATGGTAGGATATAGCGAATTAAGGGTGAGACGAGGATTTTCTTTGGTGACGTATTTAATAAAAATTCTTCGGGGTAAAGAACATAACGCCGTTGTCTTGCGCTGGCTTTACGTCAGTGTGCCGGACGGATACGTGGGAAAACGGCATCATCCACCGTTGCTGGTTGTGCCCTTCGCGCATTCCAACTCCATGGCCAGGGCGCTCATCACGCAAACAATACGAGTGGTGAATATTGTACACCAAAAGGTTGACATTTTCACGGGGTATTGGAGTGAAATAGCAAATATCGTTCTTAACGTAATTACTACTAGAAGTAATGACAATAATTATTAAGACTTAGTTTTCATATTTTTTCTTATATCGTGTATTACTGTCGAATTGGATTATATCTGTAATGGCAGCATATATTTGTGTGTGTGTAAATAAATAAATAAAAAGCGACAAGTGCACCTGCTCTGCTTCAAAATCAGGCTATATTACATTTTAATTCAAAAATAGTTAAATCACACGTTTCACGTTGTAAGCCATTACAAGTATTTTGTTTAATATTTATGTTACTTTTTACATTATATTAAAAACATGATCATGGCTATAAATACCTAAATGACAAGTGGTGAAGTGGAGCTTAAAAGTAAGCGGAAGTGAATATTTGAAAAATAAATCCGTCGTTTCGTCAAAGTACTACTTACAAGTATCAGGACACAGGGAACCATCAAAGCCACATCTCGGTGTATCAGGCGGCGGACTGGTCCGCCCGCCCGCCCAGTGAATTGGGCGGTTTTCGACGAATTGCAGAGATGCATTCGCTGCTATGTATGTTGCAACCACCTGGAATAACATACGTTGTTAGATTTGTTAATATAATTCCCGTAGTTTACGCGAGTAGTACACATTTAAATAAAAAAATTACTGTTTAAAACGCGAAATATATTAGTTAAACTTATTTTAAAAAAAATACCTACGGCCCGACGTTTCGGATGCTTTGCAACAGCCATGGTCAATGGAAGACTTAAAGAAGATTAAAACAATATTTAAATAAGTTTAACTAATATACTTCACGTTTTAAAACGTAAAAATGTTTTATTTAAATAAAAATTATTGCCCATATGAGTATTTTTACAACAGTACCGGAACAGTGGCATAGTTGCCAAACACATTAGCAAGAATGTGAATCGCGAGAAGTCGTGGGTCCAAGTCCAAGAGTGACTAAAGCAAGTTAATGTGTTTGAGTAGAGATGAGAATAACCGTCTAATCACCATTTTTGTGAAAAACATTATAAGCCGGTCACACAAAAAAAAGAATGTTTGGGATAACGGACGTTACAATATGTCTGTGTCATAATAAAGTGATTTTTCCTATACCAAACAGTATTTCTTCTGACTATACGAGCTATTAGCTTAAGCTAAGTTACGCCAGACATTAGATTTATTCTCATTAATAGATGATATCGGAAGGTAAAATTTCTATAGCTTCCGCCCATAATGGTTACACAAAGACCTCGCCAGAAAGGTTATTTATTGAGTGTAATAATTGCATAATACCAGCGATGATAACATTTATATGTTATTAATCAATACAATGGGTATTGTGGGAATAGATTTAGGTAATATTCCAATAGGTTTAATAAACTGAGTCATTTGTCTAGTTAATCTCGTTATTTTCGAAGCAGAATGGAGACATCGTTATTTCTTCGTCTAATGATCCCTTATTCTTACTTATTTGAAATAAATACAGCTTTGTTGGAGATTACGCGAAACGATTCTTAGGTTTTGCTAGTAGCTCTTTGTTTGTGTATATTCGTATCTATTAAAAAAAAATGTTTTATAAAAGAGGACATACACCCATTCGTTTAATGGAATATTAATATCAAACAAACAAAAAATAAACTATATTACAACTACAAGAAAATTACAAGTATAAGATTTAATTTCATAATCACAGCGGCCTTATCGCTAAAAAGCAATTTCTTCCAAGCAACCTTGAAAAAATAACTAAGCTAAATGCGCCTTCGACCTATTTTAATTTTCGTAATAGCTAAGTCATTTTTTACTATTATCCGATAGAATGATATGTCTCGAGAAAGCCATTTTCCATATTGCTTAGTAATCAATCATAGTAATTAATTTAAACCTTATTTTGTTTTCCTATTTAGAAGTGACTTCCGGCGAACTATATTCTTCACCTGATGTCCCTACGTGCTCGGAATATGCGCATGAGCAAGACACCTCATCATTACAAACGTGATATGGATACAAGATAGTTATTGCTTAACGTAATATAATCAATATTTTAATCTTAATAGCAAATTATTATTGAGCCTTATTAACACAATGGTAAGAAGAATGGCACATAGAATTTCTGAAGATGAAAAATCAAGAAATTCTTCAAACTTGGGTACTCTATCAGCTTTCATTTAATTTTAGCCCCTATATATTCTATTCTTTTGAATCCCATGATTCTTAAAAAATCTGTCGCGTCACTAAAGTGGATTTATTTTTACGCTTTTTCTCTAGAGAAACTTTAAAATTTTAACGATCTAACTTTTTGGTATCATATGACAACATATTATAATTAGATTATACTTTTTTAGATAAGAAAAAAAGATTGATTTTAACCTATCCTATATTATTTATAGGTAATAAAAAAGAAGGTCTTATACGCCGTATAACGATTTTATGAAAAAATAAAGGATTATTATATCGTAATGTTAAACAATTCTTAATTACTTATGAAATCTTTCAGTCACTAATAAAAAATCAGACCGTATTTGGTATTCATAGCAGTGCATTCACTATGCAACGTTATTTTCCGAAGGCGTTATGAATCATTTCAATATCGGTTAAAAATACCAAAATGGAGAAAAATTTAAAAAATTGTTGATAAGAGTAATTTCGCTGCAATTTTGAAACTAAATTATTTAAAGTAATAAAAAAATACTATACATATAATATTCGTCTGAACCAGAAATCAATGCCTACGTTATATTCTACAAAAATACGTAACATATTTTTTTTTCAATACTGACTGTAGTTTACGCGTGTAGTACAAATTTAAATAAAACACTTTAGCGGTTTTAGGCGTGATATATATTTTAAAAACTTAATTGGAAATTATTTAAACTTCGGCCCGACGTTTCGGATGCTTTGCACCGAGGTCGGTCGTTGCCGGGTCGAGAGTTAAAATAATTTTTAAATAATAAAATTTACTTTAAGAAAGAGGCAAAGAATTTCTAAGTGACATAAGACCTAAGCGAATGTTTATCAAAATTTAATATACTTTACTCTACATATTGAAGATTGTTTAAGCCTTACGAAACGATAATTACGTTATTTAATATACCTTAATATAAACATCAATTTTCGCCCTAATCAGCGTTCGCAAATGAAGGATTCTCGTAATATAATACCGGGCGAAATACAATATTGTTGATTGGATTATATAATCATACTAATATCAGCTTAAGGTTAATATTGTTAATTATAAAGAAATGTCTTTCATCATTACATGTTTTTTCTTTATCTAACCAGATATTTCCATTAGATTTTGTTTGCTCCATTATTTGTTGTTGTTTTAATGTTATTGGTGATCTATTTTCTACACTCGTATATCTATAGCAATATTAGTGTCTAGTATTTAAAGTAGTATTCTAGTGGCCAAATGATCGCATAGAAACTACCTAATATAGTAAAAGCAACATTCTTTGATGGCTTTTTAGGCTCGTTCGTGTTATCGTAGCAATGTATAGCTAGTAATCCACCAGCCGTAGGTTCGATCCCTACCGTCTCAAATATGTTCCTCGAAATGTCGCAAATTATGTCGGCACCACGAAGCACTGTGCAGAAATAAAAAGCTGTGAAGTTTAATTGCGTTTTTGGTTTCGATCTGCGGCGTTCTGAATATTCAAAGCAAAAATAGGTTGCCAGCACGAGTCGTTTCAGTGGTATATGGGATGAATATTTCACCTTCCATCGAATGAGCCCCGTGCTTGTCTGCTCTCCTCTATCGTAAAAAAGACCAGCAAAAAATAGACTACAGACGAAGAGAAATTTTATATAAGCAATGAATTAGTTAAAACATTTTTGCTCCAAATTTCAGAATGGCGGACGTTCTAATTACCTAGACCTATGATTTTTGTTTCGTATCGTTATGAATCTACCACGTCCTATCAATATCTCATCAGCGTTAGGCTTTGAGATAAGTAGACTATTGAGGTCTTGTAATATTTCTATAATAATTAACAGTATAATTATGTTACGTAATTCTAGAGGCTCGTTCAGAGTCCTCTACTATTTAAAACAAAGCGTTCTCTTTGTTAATTATCTCGGTTTGTACTTTATGACATTCTTGGAAGGGAAACTTAAAACAAAATTAGCTCAGAATTGCTCTCGCCATTTTAATGTAAAGAGCGTTTTTGTTTACACGTTTCAAATATTTGCGTTTGTACAGAGAATGTTGAAAAGAGTCCTTTCTGTAGTGTTCGCAAAAGTCCTTTTAAATATATAAGTAATTTCAAATCTGATTTGATTTAAACAAAACGAGGGTGTCCGATATACCCTCTATTTATTTAAAACAGACAACCTTTTTGTCATAATTAGACGCAATCGTAAATCTAATATGGGTTTGAAAATGTTGGTTCGCGATAAAATTATTTAAATACAAAATTATATAATAATATTGTATTATTCATTTAGTTTGTGCAGATATATGTGAAATATCACTTAAGATACAGACTTTTTACATTCATCAAATGTAAAAAGTCGTACAATAGTTTGATGACTAATCAGACCACATCCAGAAATCTCATTAATTTTATCGAATGTTAAATTGTTTGGAACGAAGTGATTACGCCACATTACACCAATTGTCTGATGGGAGCTTTGAATAATATGCTATATTGTGTGTTTTTGTGGCCAAAGTTTGTTTGTAATTATTGTTAGTTTATTTTATTATAGAGTAAACTTTTGGTATTATTTCTTATTAAGAAATGAGTTTAATAGATACATACTAAACTTTTCCTAACTTAATTCAAGTATAAGGGAATGTTATGATACGCTTCTTGTGTGTCAAATTTTCTAGTACTAGCAGTGCAAAACAATTAGTATGCGTGAAGCATTCAGAAACTGACCTCGAATTTGCTCGTATTGGGGTTCATATCCAGTAAGGAGTATGACGCAACACGGTCGCCATTTTCGTTAATTATGACTTCTCCCGTGATCCCTGCAAAAAAAAACAACCCGTTTACCACCGAATCCAGAATTAGAAATGTCAATACACATTATTTATAGGCGGTTAATCAATCGCTTAGTTATAAGACGTCTAGCATTTTAATCACAAATGTATATAATAGTTCACTGTTTAAATTAATATTTGCTATATGAAATGGTTTACTCTCCAGTAAGAGTGACAATATAATGAAATAGGCATGCTCTAAATTTCAACTAATTCCACGCAAAGAAAACCATCTTTCCATTTCTTGAAATCAAAAAAATTAAAATGTTATCTACCTAGTATTGTCTGTAGTTTATGCGAGTATTTTTAAATAAATCTTTACACATACATTTAAATAAAATCTTAAATATTTGGCACTTTAAACGTCCACAAAGTTATTCTTAAAATGTTTACAATTACATTGTTTTATTGTAATCCAAAACTGTCGATAAATTGTTAAATATTGCTTTGTTTAGTGACTTAGAAACAAAGTACGAGTAAGTATTAATTGTCTGTGGTTAATAAAAATCCCGCCAACCGCACGCCACAGATAATAAAGTACAGACCTTGAAATGTCCTATTCCACATGTTCCTAATAACAGCAGCGCCATCTAGTTGGCCACGGGGGTCGTTGGCCTGTCGTAGAGTGTCGTTTAAGGCCAACGCGTAGAGGAGGACCGCATCGTAGAACGCCGCTACGAACGTAGACACAATCTCTTCTTTGCCGAACGTGTAGTTGTATTTCGTAGCGGCAAGGTCTTTGACCTGTAGATTAGTATAGTTGATGGGTACTTGTAAAGGGGATTTGACGCCGCAACATTCTTAATTAAAGAGTATAGTGGCGTAGAAATTAATAATCAATTATGAATGTATATATATTTAGAAAAGTTTATTTTTATCTTATATGTAGTGGTGTTTTAGTTTTTCTATGAAAAAGCAAGAAAATCTATGTTGTATGTAAAAATAATATAAATACCTCTATTTAAACAAAAACTTAGTAAACTTTAAAAAAAAAGAAAATGTAGGGAAATGGTATGCATACACTACAGTGTGTGTTCATGTGTGTAATTTCAGCCCGCCCCTTTTCTATTAAAACTAACAACTCACTTAAAAGGAACACTACCTTAATATCTATAGTGACTCGAATGTAGCTCAACCATTACCATTTATTACGAAGAATGTTTTGAGTATAATGAAGACTGTGTCTTTCTAACGACGTGTAAGCCTGTATATTATAATTTTGTGTAAGTATATTATAATTTTATAAAAACAAATGACGCGCAACAACAATACCTTATCAGAGAACTCCAAATATTCTTTCTTTTCTGGAACGGGGCTCGTAACGGTAAGGACTGCACTATATGCGCGTCTCGCTTTCTCATTCCTTTCGTCGGTATCACCTTCTACTTTCCAGGGCTCCTTTGATGATGCTGAAGCCAAGCTGCGATTATAAACAATAATAATATTAACAAACACATAATACAAGGAACATCTTAGTTATTTTAATTGTGCCATAAGGAGAAATTATTTATCGTTATATTAAAACCATCCGTGTGATAAAGACGATATATGGCTTAAGAAGGAGTGTTTTTTCAAATGTTTTTAATTATGTCGGCTATTAATTCATTACTTTTCACTTGACTATTATATTTAAAGTTCTAAGATTATACCTAATCTTTATTAGTATTGTTACAATTTACTTACTTCGAAAACAGTTCTATATTGAAGAACACGTATTCGCCCGAAGACACCATGTTGAGATCATCAGCGGCCAACATTATTTCCCGAACAGTGCTAGGATTGGCACAGACCACCACAACTGTAACAAACATTCATCTATCCAAAACACAATCACGAAATACATAGGAACATATTATTTAAATATATTTGGTAGTTTCAGTTAATTGTATTAATTGCTTACAATGTAACCAATAAGTACAAACCAATAAACAGTTATTAAAAAAAAGAGACATGAACATTTTTGGAGACTCTTCCAATACCAAGAATCCATTTTAACCTTAAATAAAGTGCTATTGATTTGAACACTGTAACAAAAAGTCACACAGTGCAAAAACCTGTGCATTAAAAACACTTATATACATACACTGAATATATAACATACATACGTCTCCCAATTGATCACGGCTGCTGCAAAGCATCCGAAGCGTCGGGCCGAAGTTAAAAATCATTTTCAAATAAGTTTAACTAATATATCGCATTTTAAACCGTTAAAGTGTTTTATTTAAATATATAACATAATTGAAACGTTCCTGTGATATCTTACTACATTATAATATATATATATATATGTATAACAAGATCCTAATAGCTTTTACGTGTTCTACAAAAATAGTGTTCGGGGTGTTTATCCAGCTATTAGGATATTTGTTCAGCCGTTATATACATTTTCAAGCCTCTGAGGCGATTTGGCCTCTAGTTAAAAATAATTATGAAATATATTAACTTGCAAAATATTCGTTAATAGAACATGTTGGAAACAATACCTGAAATACAAAATATTCTTTTAATATGTTAAATATTCAACGCGATAAATCTAGCTCAGTTTGTCAGCAATGTATGGTGTATGTTTTGGATTATACAAACATTTTCGCTATTGGCGCGTTAAGTAAATAACACGTACGCACGTGTCCCAAAGTTCTTAGTACAGTAAACAAACTTTCCGGACAAAAATAAAATTACAAAAACTCCCTTTTCCAACTCTCTAGATGTCACGTACAATCGTCCGTTCTAGACTGAGAGACGATTCTATGCTTACAATACTTATCTATAAAATTTATTAGAAAATACAATTGAAATTATTTTAATTATATTCCAACACCAACTTTATGGAATTGGCTCTTGGCCTATGTCTGCTTTTTTTACGTACTTTAAAATAAGTTGCTTACTTACTTTAAAATAGAGAATGTGCGTAAAACTAGGAAACTAGTAATGGAAATAACTAAATGGACCTTTTATTAAAGGTCCATTTAGTTATTTCCATAAATAATGCGATTATGTATTAATTCAAAACTATATTTAGTTTTGAATTAATACATAATCGCATTATTTTAAAATCTATTAAATTACGATTTGTGTACATTCCATATTCCTATAGTGTAATAAATCCATTTATAGCTTTTTCTAATACAAATGCAAGCTGCGAGGCTACAAAATTGTTGAAATTTATACTAGGGCTGAAAAAGATATATGTGAAATATTTCAATATTTCAAACAAGATGCGGCAAGAATGCTATCGGCCTATTTCGGATTCTGTCATTCAAATTTGACAGACTGAAATCACAACGCGGATCTACACTTTATGACTTTATCATCTGTGTAATGTGGATATTTCTATCTCATTTAATGGAAATCTCTTACACTATACCGATCTGTTTACACAGCAATCATATTTTCGACTCACTGATACTCACATGCAAACACTTTGATGAAACTTCCATTTGCGTTATATGTATCTAGGGATCTAACCCTTGAAGTATTTTTTGCATGTGTTGCTACTCGCTAACTTTTTATTATTATAAATAAGGTATGTATTTATAAGATCTAATGTCAAATGATATAATTCATGTTTCTATGTACTACATAAAAAATAATCTTATGGCCTTTTTCAAACCCGTCCTGAAACGTCCAAGACTACCACCTTATATTAAAGGTTATAGTAAAAAAAAACTTATAATTTATCGCGTTTTAAAACGTTAAACGTGTTTCACTTACATATTTTCTTAAGACACAGTAGATAATTTGTAGTAGTTTTTTTATTTATCCTACGCGGAAAATTATTTAAACTCTTTTCATATTTTTAAATAAATCAGAATTACGCTGAAACCAAGTTGAGCGTGAGGGTCGATCGCAGCCACTTCTCGAATTAATGAAAAGGTCAGACGATGCTGAACAAGCTTCCATTGCAGGCGTAATTAAATCGCCCAGTGTTTTTAGGTTATCATTTCTAACTTGACACTTTTAATTATTTTAGACTGCGATAGCATAAAGAAACATACATGGAGAAAAAAAAGTCACACACTGAAACAGATGTCTCGTCGGTTCGGTTACCACCAGAACCACCACGTTCGTACCGGTAAAATAATTCGGTATTTGAAATTTTAGTGCAAAAAATTGTATTACCAGCTCAGTTCATCTGAACTCCTTAAAACCGTGTCCTATGTAACAAGGGGTGTGTACCAAGCCGTAGAATTTTGTAGGTTGAAACGGAACGAAAAATTGAATAACCCCATATAAAACCCCATAAAAATATGGTATTCCATATTTGGTATTTTTCTGGAATATGGAGTTTATATAAAAAAACAATAGATTTGAAAAACAAATGACGAGTCGAGGCTCATAGTTTAAGTGTAGGTTCGAGTCCTACCCGTTTATTTTTTCGATGTTACGTATACGAATTCAAATCATATACCTAGCTTGATATTACGGATCATGTGAGAGATATTGAATAGCGGGCGAAAAATGAAGTAAATTTCATCATAATCCGTCTAGACTCAAGGGATCAAAGATGATGTAAATAAAATTTATCGACATTTTCATGTACTTAGTAAAACGTATTGAAATCGAATTAGTGAATGGGTTTAGTGGGTGAGTAATGCAACTAGAACTCAAATAAAACTAACGCTATTAAGAAATTTCAGAGACGAAAGATATTTTTAGAACCAAAAGCCTTCTACGATAATTAATTATAATTTATGTTAAAATAATACTCCTTGAACATAATATATAACCTTAGCTATAAAACGGGTCTAAGACGAATATTAAGCATAATAAAGTCTAAAAATAAACTGATAAAACACGTAATTTAATAAAAAGTTAATTCGCCTTCATGATTTCGCGCCGTTTGAATTAATAAGTGTCTGTTGTTTATGCCGCATATAGAATGACTTGCTATGTTAATAATTACAATCTATTAATAATTAAAAGTGTTCTTGGTAGAGCTCTAAATTCAGACCTGTTAAAGATTATCTTAGCATAATTTAGATTTTATAATAAAATCATTAATATCTACTAAATTGTATGATCTTGTAGTTACATTTTTTATAAATTTACATTTTTATTTTAAAGACAAAAAATCTAAATGCTTTCCGCAGCGTGTGTCAGCTACAGCAAAGTTAAAAATTTGGAATTATTATGGCCCTAAAGTGTTCCCCCGGCGTATGAGTCTCGTAGCCTTCCTAAATGGCTATCATTAAAAGATGTTGAGCCTTCCTCTTCTATACGAAGAGGGATCATCTTCAAAGTCAAATAAATAATTCAAAGTCGATATAATGTTAAAATCGCAATTGCGATAAATACATATATTGAGAACAATTTTTCGGTACGTAAAAGGATCTCAATAAAACACGTCTCCATTTACTCACTTCTCGTGTTTAACGATAGCTTTTGGAGGATCTCTTTGAGTTTCGACGACGTCGTGTTCGTTTCGTCGAACGGCACTATCGGTATTGTGTCGTCTTTCTTCTCGAGGACTGTAAATATTGCGCTGAGCGTCAGGAAACAAGGGCTGTTGCCTTTGCCCGCTGATAGGATGTTGTTGTGGTACAACATGCCCAGTTTCCGCCATTTGAATTCCTGGAACAAAGATACAATCCTTTAATCAATTAGAATTTAACGTCGCAAACTTATTGATGTGGTCGTACCGTGACAATACGTATTATCGGGTGTGAATTGTATAAGGTTATCACACATCGACTGTCGTAATTCAGAAATGATTGTCGACGTTTCGGCATAACTAATGGATGATATCGTCCGAATGGAAGAAGGAGATCTCTTAAATGTATTAAACATAGATACAATTTACAACCAAACATGGGCCGCTCCCACATTAAATTGAATTAAGATGCTTAAGAAAGTACTTCAGTATATGATGTAGTTTTAGTCCGGGACGCTGGTGGTTGAAGTTTTTTAAATAATATAGTCAAAATACGTGTAGGAAGTAACAAGTCATAAATATTAATTTATTATTAGATAAGAATGCGTTGCATTTCCAAGGTCCTTGCGTCATTTGCGATGACTTTACCATGCGGATATAAAGCGCACATTATATTTATTTATCGCTGTTGGTTGCAATTTTGCTGTGTAAAGCTGATTTATACGGATTTACATTGCATAGACTTTTGTTGTTACATGGAGCATGGGGACATATTATTGCGTCCGTTTTGCTCATCTTCTTAATTTACAGATGAGATAGTCTTTGTGCCGTTCGTAGCCGCAATATTGTTTCTTTTTTATTTTCCTTGGGAATGCGCTACCGAACAGCTTCCTGAAACACGGAGTGAGTCTAACGACTATATACTGTGGGCGTTTACTCAATCTTTCACACCCACACATCATTTCGCTTTCAGGGTGTCTTTATTTGATTTAATTACGTATGTATTACCTATTTACAATATGATGTAGTTGGGGGAAGTCTATTCTTCGAGCCCAATAAATTCTATTGAACAAAGAATTATTAATATTATATTTGATTTAAATAAAACACTTTAATCGGTTTAAAACGCGATATATTAGTTAAACTTATTTGAAAATGATTTTTAACTAAACGGCTGCTGCAAAGCATCCGAAACGTCGGGCCGAAGTAGCTCAATTGGTAGAGCAACAGCACGGAACGCTGAACGATGCGGGTTCTAGTCCTGCCCGAGTCGAAAATTTTTTCAATTTATTTTCGATTTTTAAATTATAAAGTTATATTTATTTGTATGTAAAACAAATGACAGTGCACATATTAATAAAGGGATATGTTTAAAACTATTGTACATAGCAAGTAACATAATGCACAAAGTGTTTATGTACGAATTAGTTTTATTTGTTTAGTAACTAAGTAGGTGACTTAACTATATTTAATAGTTAGATAAAAATATATGCTAAATCTATATATAGTGTCTGTCATCAAAATAATATGCTTATTTAATACGACGGAGTAAGACAGATAAGATCGAGTTGAAATGCGCTGTCGCTATTTCATCAAAATAGCGACATAATCTATCAACATTTTAATGTTTAAATTTTTAGGCAGTTCCCAAAAATAGTTCTTTCAAAAATTCATGTTGGATGATGGACCAATGACAAGCAATTGCTACAACTGGTAAAAAGCTAAATCTTGAAAAGTTAGTACTTGCACTAAGATTAAGGTTTGTGGTATACGAAACGAAAGCCATTAATTATAAACAATTGAAAATAGGAAGATTTAAGTATAACTGTTTAATTCTCTGTATTTCATTCAATCAATGTAACTGACCATAGCTGTTTTAATTGTTTTTAATAAATAAATAACACACGCAGAATTGTACATCTAATATGTTCGCTCGAAGCAATAATGTGCTAACAAACAAGCTATCGCTACAATATCGCCAGCCTTGCAAAACTTCGTCTCTTATATCGTAATTGTACGCAATCCGACGCCTTTATAAAGTAAACACGGCAAAAATAACAACGAAATGAACAGTGTAATAAAAAATATTTCTTTGAAGATTGCTCATTTCCCCTCAGGAGGGAACCCTCGTCAATCCACAACATCAAACAGAAAGTATGGCAGAACTCTCTCAATAACAGAATTTAAATCAATACTTCTTCTGTTCATTTACTGTACAAGTACAAAGAAATGTTTCAATAACTTTTCCGATAGACAAGTTACTAAACAAAGGAGATATAAGTTTGCGCGCTTGTGTACGCTTTGAGATGGAATTAAGCTGGACAGTTTTAATAAAAAATAAAATCCAATTTTGCCTTTATTTATCGATTTTATTTACAGAAAGTAGTTGGAAAGAGTTTTTGTGTCGCTACCGAAACTAATTTTTAGCCCAGAACCCGATCTTAGAACTTTAGCAAGGAGGTTTTTTAGTTTAAATCAAGCCTAAACTACGAATAATTTAAATCCTCTAAATTACATAACTTCCCAGGCAAACAATTTTCATAATTAAATTCAATTAATACTGAAATGTCTAATTATAAACAAAATTATAGTTTCGTAAAAAATTGCCTTAATAACATAAAACACTTAACGGTTTAAAACGCGACGTGAATTTGTTAACTTACTTTAAAGATAACCAACCACGGCTCGAAGTTTCGGATGCTTTACAGCAGTGATAATCCCCCCCGTGACCGTAAGTTAAGTGTTAATAGTGTTGCTAATAGTGTTTTATTTGAATGTGTACTACTCGCGTGAACTACAGACATTACCTCTTTCATTTAAAAATAACGAAACTGTGGTCTATTGCAAGTGTTTTAAATAGACTACTTATCGAAGTCTATATCTCTATTAATAATTAATACGCAATATAGTTTTACTTTGTCACTTAATAACAATACAATGTTTATTATCCTCATTAAACACAATCACGTGTGGTTTGCTATGCATTATGCAAGTTATGTCAGACGTTCATAATCTACACTATGTTATTATTTACTAGGTAGAAAGGTAATGCGACTTAGACTTGTAACGACTAGTAGCCCATCTTCGGCTTCGACACCTCGACCTGATCAGAAAGACCTGACATGCAGTTTATTTACTTCACGACTTCTAACTATGCATGGTTGTTCATGGCCCGGACGAATTTGGATTTCCTAACCATTAGATATCGTGTTTTTCCAGATAAAGTCCAACATGTATTACGAAAATTATATATTGATTTTAGAAATTAGCCCGGTGGGACTCAAACCCACAAATGCATACTCGTTGACATATATAGCCCATACATAGCTACCAATAGACCGAAGCGTCCGGCTAAATATGAAGAGAACATTGCCATTTTAGGGCTTAAAAAAATTTTGTAGTTTAGTGGTATGTTTTTCTATCTTTTGTTTAAATAAGTAAGAACAAGACAAGTTTTGGCATTATCTTTCGATATTCTAGTTTTGGATCTAAGTAGGTCCAAAAATAATATTTTACTTATGATAAAGGAGGACAGACAAGTATCTATATCATTTGATAAAAGATGAAATACCGCAGCTATATAATACAAGCAATATTTCGGCTTTAGGCTATTAGGAAATAAATCCATCTTTGATAAACTAAACTGTTTAAAACTTAATTGTGGTAGGATTTAAGTTGAGCAAAACAAACAAGTTTGCTTGCTATCCCTATTTAAATCTTATACCGACACCTTCTACGTCATCTGTAGTACAGAATGAATGTCGAAAAAGAAACATACCCCCTAGAAAGAGAAAGCTTATAATATGTATGATAGATATACAATTACAAGTAATGACAAATAAATTTACCCATTATTAGTATAACAGCTGTGATAACAGACCTTTTTTGAAGTAATATGAATGAAGTTTATATGATTATGAATACTAATGTCTATCGTTACTTACCTAGCATATAATCATAAATATACTATGTAGAAAGAAGTCTACGATTAGAAATTGGTTCATATTTTTTTTAGGAAACATACATAGCTTAATCTTAATTATTGCGATATTATGAATAAATTGACTTAATTATTTCAACACATGATCCTAACTAACATCTGTTTCAGTCGATATTAACTTTTCATTCCTACATTATCATAGATTTCAAGATTCACAATGATCTCTATCAAAAGCACGTAAAACAAATATTTAATAATTTTCCCTTTCTTCATAGTTACGTATTCAATTCGCGTTGACCTATCTTTAAATACCAATTACGTGTTAACGCTTTGAGCATTTTCTATTTCTGCGAGTCGCATACCGAGGTATTAAGACTTAACGTCGAACTGAACTGCATTTATTTATAGAACATAATTTCAAATTCACACGTCGCAATGAAACAATGGAAAATATATGCTCCAAACTACAAATACAAAAGAGCTTAAAGTCTAAAACAGTGGTAATATTGAAGTATATAAAAACAAACACATCGCTATACAGTATTTACTTTTTAGATAAGCAAAAATGGTTGCGCCAAATAAAGTGTAACAAATAAAGCGGACAGTAACGAAAATAAAACACACAGTGTATCAGAAACGTGTTTTAAATTACAGACATACACAACATCGAAGACATGTTCTTAGATAATTACCTCGAATATTTTTCGAATGGCAACTCCTGCTTGGGTGTAGCTGCCCATCATTCTGGTCAAGGTCATGTAGCTGGGATGTTTGTACGTGAAGGCTTCGGCCTGAGCACCCGCTGTGATAACTGGGATATGCCATAAACCTGCGTACCTCGCAACCGGAGCGATCACATATTCACAGCCAGGTCCAATAAAGGCATCTAAAAGTTTTGCTCTTATTAGAATTTTGCCAGTTTACCTTATAACAGCCGTACTTGGTGTCTTGTAATACGTAATAACTGATGAGCTAAAATTGGGCTTCAATACAGATGCTGAATGCAGTAGTAAAAATGTTTCTTGTGTGTTATTTTTTCGGTAAACTGGTGCAAAAACTTAAGCAAATATTTAATTTTGACTTTAAATATGAAGATATCAAGTACGGCTGCAAGGTTTTCGAGTAAAATTAAATCAGAAAAAATAAACCACGACTTACCAGCTGAACCGTTCACGTAAAATTCAAAAGCAGCAAGAGGTCCTTCGACCGAGGAACATCTAGTGTCCCTATAATCCACTAATATTTTCCATCCCGGTAGCGGACCGTCGTTCGCTGTCAAGGCCGGTATAGCCAACTCCACTATAGGCAATACTTTTGCCAGAGAGAACACTTCTCTAGGATCACCGGGCAGTAAGACGCCTAGTTTCACAATTTTCTCACTAAATTGATGAGTCTCTGGTCTTAAGTTGAAATTTGTGTTCTTCACACAAAACGGTTCAGACCTCAAATCGTGAGGAAAGCCCACAGCACATGACGCATCGTACACGTTTCTCGTTAGTTGCACGTCATCAATATCAATTGTTAAATTAGAGTAATCTCTCTTTCTTTTATAGGTAGCGTTCGAGTATTTTCGTAGTAAGTCACTTTTAGCCACGTACTGCAGGTTATTTTGACTTCTGTTATTTACACTATTATTAATACTAACATCACACACAGTTATCACATTTACGACACACACGTAGAAAACGAGGAATGACAAGAACATTGGAACTTTTATGCTTTTAACACCCGCTGTAGGTTGATTTTTAATCTCGTGTGCTTGAGCATCGTCCATATTGTTATCATGTTGCACGACTCCATATTGTATATTCGCGTTTTTATCGTCCCGTCTTCTTCTAAAATTTGCTGGATTCGCGCACAATTTCTTCTCGCTCCTGAATATTTCCACAAAATATGACGGGAGAATCGTTTTCACGATCTCCTCTGTCATTTTATGAGTAATTTATCTCATGTTTGAAGTTAATTTTACTACCTGCGTCATCTGTTACAAATGTTAAGTTAAAATCTAGCAAAATTCAACTCAAAGCGGTGGTCGTTATATACGGTCGTTTATTTTATACATTCTCTATTCCTTATCGTGAATCTACGTCACAGTATTCAAACATAATTAAATTCGGTGGTATTTTTTGCCGTCTAGGTTGAAAATTAAAAAATAAAGCACTTAAACACAACCCGTTTTGAATAATTATTTGATATGTCCTTCAGACATTTATGTATCTGTTTTTGAACATCTTTATTAATGTAAACGTTCCGTTCATTACAATAGTAACTGTAGAGGTTATCACCGTATTAAAATAGTACTTAGAATAATTTCAATTACTTTTTTAACTGTAAACTTTAAACTAAATTAACAAAATAACGGTACTTTCATTATGTGTATTATAAATATCGTATATATATCTCAGTTAGCAAGCTAACCTTGTATAGAGTATACGTATGTTTAATAGATAAATGCACTGCCCAAAATTTTCGGTCGGGTGGGGTACAGAAATATATTTTATTGTTCAAACAGACGATCGACGACTGAAATGCTATATGAATATTTATGATATTTACATTAAATTGAAATCCACAATTTTACAGCGACATAAGAATTATATATTCACACTTAGCACATACAAAGTTGACGGAGGACTCGTCCAAAAAACTTGTTCTAAAAATATATTGACTCCATCCGACTTGTAGTTTATTTTTAAACTAATATTGAAGGTTATATAGGTCGTAATAGTTTGAACATGTGTTGTGGTAAAATACGTTTTATGATTAATTAGAATGTAGTATATTCGCATAGTAGAGTATTTTTTATGAATCTAAATGAATATACATAATATATGTCTATCGTATTATTTTCCGGTGTGATTTAAATATTCACCGATCTATGGAGCTATATTTTTTAGTTTAAAATATTTTTGTAATAAAATTAAATTAGAAAATTATAATATGATAAACATAGCGTATCTCACGGCTTATAATATTGGGTCGTACGATTTTTACCGGATCGAAGAAACATTTTTTGATATTTTTTTACATTACAATACATTTTTTTGATTTTTGAACCTCGTCAAAATTTTACCATTTATTGTGGAAGGAATGTTGAAATTCTAATGAAAAAGCCATGAAATGAAAAACACATTACGGCGTTAGCCTGTTTTCGAATATTCTCATTCGAATCGATCGATAGAACTTCTTGTTGGCATGTTAAAAGACAAAGGTGTTTCACCTTCCATCAAATGCCCTGATCCTTCATAAAAGTAATGAATCAAGTTTGCGAGGACAAATAAATGTTGACATAAACCATGTTTATGATATAGATGTGACATTGGCCAATATAACTTGATAACTTTCGTGGCGCTATAAAAAGTTTGACAATAAAATTGTCTACTTCATGGAAAATATTATTCTTTCAGATATACTTCCACAGAGTCATACCATTGTTTTGCGTGTTGGTTGGATATATATAAAAAGGTGTTTTCAGAATATTGTAATTATTGTACAAATTGTAAAAAGGTATTAGTAAATTGTAGAAAGCTTAAGTCGGTGGTTTTCGCGAGAAGTGCACATTTAAATAATACACTTTTAACGGTTTAAAACGCGAAATGTATCAGTTACAAATATTTACATTTATTTAATTCTCACCGTGACCAAGTGCGGGCGATATAGGTTAAAATACTTCAAGTTAAAATACTTTGTTATTAAGTTCAACAAATAGATTTCGCATTTTAAATAGTTGAAAGTGTTTTATTCAAATGGGATCATCATGTAATGATAATACCGATGATAGTCGAGAATTTTTCCATTCCGACGGCTAATGGACCTTAAAAGGTACTTGTTAACTTTTAGATGTAGAGTAATAAGCAACGAAACATAATATTATTTTGTTTTCCAGTAACAAGGAGCATGTTGTGCTGTAATTGAGTAAACTACTTGTTTCTGAGTAATTAGATTGTTGTGGGATTATATTTCAAGAATTATGTTGGAGTTGTGAAATTATTCCTGACGGTTCACGCTGTTATTGCAACATTGACATTGTTATTGTATCCAAGTATTTGTATAAACTATAGTTATATTTACATCGGCACAAAGTTAGGTAAATATTTTACCTAATTAAAGCATATTTCTTTCCTTCAACAATAATTTATTTACTTTGTTTAAATCTATTGTAACCATTGTAATTAAATATAATTAAAAAAAATTTACAGCTATGCGAGGGTTTGAACAGGCTGTTGACGGAACTTTCAGAAATCCACAGACTGAATTCGAACTGAAGCGCTGATTAACTATACGGATTTTCAATAACGGTTTTAAACGCGATATATATTACTTAACCACCCGAATACATTATAAGTCTAGTCTGCAGTGCAGCATAAGCATCCGAATCGTCAGGCCGTAGTTTAAAAAAAAAAAATTTAACTAATATATTCCGCGTTCTGAACCGTTAAAGTGTATTATTTAAATACGAGTAGACAACTCGCGTAATCTACAGACATGTATCCATATTTACCAGACGATGTCCATTTAACAAAGACATAGGACGCGTATTGTAGATTTTTTATGCTCACTATAATACTAACGAGCCCGTCTTAACCCATCAACGAGTTGTTTTCTGAAGTCAGTTAACAAAATACGTACGCATGCAGAGATTACCGCTAATCTCCGATCTTAACCTTATGTAACCTGAGGCCGAGAAGTGGCCTTAAACGTGACCTTCCGTCTCAGTACTTAATCATTTATGCTGTTCACTATCGCGATGGAAGCTTTGTTTACTTAATTAGTGTTTAACCATTACCTTATTATAATATATCTAAAATTCGGGTTATGCAATTATTATCTATACTAATATATATAGCTGAAGAGATTGTTAGTTTGAACGCACTAATATTAGGAACTATTGGTTCTAATTGAAACATAATTTTTGTGTTGGTTAGAACATTTATCAAAGAAGGCTATAAAACATCGGGCTATGACTAATAGGAGCGAAGCAACGGCGGGAAATGTGGAAAAAAAACATGGAAAATTCATATTTGTCGGTTTTCGATGCGTACGCTACGAAAACGGTTCAAGACACCCAAAAAATATGTATGAAAGAATGATTTTTCTTGACATGATTAAAAAAAATAGGGTGTACTTCCGAAAAGCGCATACCGCCGATCTATCTGAAATTTGGTATACTTATGTATTTTGACCTCCTAATCACGAATATCATAACGAAAATAGATTTTAGATCGATCGGCGGTATGCGCTTTTCGGAAGTTTAAAGAAAAATAGAGCAACATGTCTTATGTATTTTTAAATAAAACACTTTAACGGTTTAAAACGCGATATGTTAGTTAAACTTATTTGAAAATGATTTTTAACTTCGGCCTGACGTTTCGGATGCTTTGCAGCAGCCATTTGGTCATGGGGAGACATCTCTAAAGATGGAAGATGTCTCTGACGTCTTATGTATGTAAATCGATAAAATTATTTAAAATCCATTTTGTATTCGATATTAGGTATTTGATTATGCAATATTGATAGTGTGTAATTAAAAATCTATTTAGATTGAAAACATTACGACTCGGGCGGGACATGAACCGGCATCCGCAGCGTGCTGGTCTTACCAATTGAAGTACTGCGTAATGTCAGTATGTAGTTAACGCGAGCGGTAGTGTTAAATGATATTAAAATACACAAAAAGTATTCAAGGGTAGATAAAAATAAATTTCCAATGAATTTAGCGATTAAACCGTAAAAGTGTTTTACTTATGCGCAATATTATATTTCAAATAGATAACAAATAAATGTTGCCTTCTTTAATTTTTTATAATTCTTTTGATGTTTTTTACAATTCATTTACATACGGTGTTTTGATTACGATCTAATAAAATTGAAACTATACTCCATTAAAGAAAGCATACCACATTCTAGGCATATTCATAATCCTATATCTTATAGAATAAAATATAATGATTATATATATGATAGAGAAGGACAGACAGGAACATAAGGGAGGTGAAAAACCCTCCCATAATATTTGCACAAGATGCGATGTCTATTATAGCATTGGATATCCAAAAAAGTAAAGTAATGTTAACTTCCGTATCCCTTTATTGAGCGAGGGCCGAACATATTTCTGTGTCCGTTTTATTGATCAGTTTTTATGTATAGCCATGTAGATCACATTTCTGTGCCCTGCCCGAGTAGACAATCAATTGTTTGCCCGGCATTTGAACTCAGAACCCTATCGCACTAAACACCAAATATATAGATATAGTACTGAGTTGGTCGTTAATAAAAACCGTAGATATAAAAAAAATGTTTTGTTTTTTAATAGCATATAGAGTTTTATATATATAGGAAATTTTAAGTATACCTACCTACCTACTTTCCAGAAGCGAAAACTAATGTATATTTTTATTAAAGACGCGTAATTATTTTAGTAGGTAAGTACTTAGACACATCTGTATTACGTAATCCATAGTTTAAGTAAAAACAATGCCGTGTGTGAAGTGCTAAACTGGTTGCTAAAAATAGCGTCTAAACATGGTACGCTCATAAAAAAAATTGAGAATCATGCGCTATTTTGGGCATGGTAGATTTATAAGGTACATAATATTTATGTTGACTGATCGAAACAGGATTGGACGGAGCCCATTATCCCTTCCACGTTTGGGAGTCTATTCTGATTCTTGTGATATATGTATTGTGATGAAACATTATTCATTCTATACAATACTACAAAGAATCCGTAAGCGAAGTACACACTTAACTCTTTTAGACGCGAAATTGTTATGTTATTTTAACAACAACTAGACGTTTCGGTTGCTGCCAAGTTAAAAGGGTAAAAGTTTTTTGATCGAAAGATCTACATTATACGAATATATATCTAGTTTTTTTTAATAATGTCACCGGGAAACCTTTTTTTATGTTCGTAAATAAAATGTGTTTCCA